CGCACACACGTGTGCTACACGACAAACTCATTGCCCGTGGCCCTGGCTCAAAATCTTCTGCAGCAAGACTTGCAGATAACGGACAACGGAAGGAGGCACAAACGAAATCTGCCGAAAACACAGAAACACATCTTGTGTTGAAGCACCAAGGCGCCGGCTTGGCTGCCAACCGCTAAAGCTGTGAGGCTCGGTCTTCCCAAGACCAAGGAGCGCACGTCAGACCGTGTGCGGATGGGCTCCGACTTGGGCCTGGATGCCGGCACCCAGAATCAAAAATCAACATGGCCATGCCCTGCTGCCAGGATGTCGCATTGGGCAACCCGACAGACTGTCAAGGCGTAGCTGCTCCCGCTCCATGGCCTTGTGTTGGAAGGCACAACAAAATCTCAGTGCAGCTGAGAACCTGTTTCAAATGAATGCAGCAAATCCTCGTAAACACTGACCGACTACAGGCATGCAAAAAAACCAAAGGCTACTTTCGCGCAGTCACTCTGGCTCGACATGGTCGTTTAAAATCGTTTCTGAACGAAATCGTCCTGGTTCAGCCGCGGCCTAGAACAGGCTGGGAATCTCAGGCCCGCTGAAAAGTGTTTGTCCATGCTAGATGGCAGGAAGTGCCGCATTCCAATTCTCTCTGCTCCAATGTAGGTACCAGGGTCGCTCAGGATGTTTCTACTGCACCATTATGCCCTTCACCTAAGGGTGGTGCGACCTGCCAGAGCAGAAGAGACTCGCAAGTAAGAAAAAGAGAGGGGAGAACTTGTCCACCCAAAAATCTTCTACGTCCAGTCAGCAAAGTAAGATACCTCACAGCCAGAGACCAACTTTTGGTTTTGTGAGTCCTGAAAGCACCGTCATCGCCCACCTCTCGAGTCTCCTGCTCGACTTTCCGAAGAGCATCCTCAGGGCAAGCGTCTGAAAACGAAAGTCCCCGGAGCGACCCAAACATCCAGGCCCTAGGACTCCTAGGACGCCTTTCATCTACACAAACATACGTCTCAGCTCCCAGGATGGCTTCCTCAACAGTCTCAAGCATCGTGCTGCCAGAAACTGTCTGGGATCGCGCGCGAGATTCCGTCTTGGACGGCTTTCCACAAATGCTTTGCCGTTTCCAGTTCTTGCCTGTCATCGGGATGGCGCACTGGAACATCTGCTCTTTGAGCTCGTGCGATTCAGATCCACAAGGATTACACAGCATGCCGGTGCACCGGGTCAAGACGTAGCTCACGGTCTTGACCTGTGCGCATGACTGTTCATGCAGATGGGTCCCCTGTCGGCCAAACGCCAGTGCACTGGTACCGTAAATCATTATTCACTCCCGTCACCTGCCGGTCCTGCCCCATGTGCAGTCCCACGACAAACGAAGCTTGCATTCATAGTATTGAATGACATTCCCGGACTTCCATTTGTGTTGGAAAATTGAAGACTTGTTCACTTGCTCGGAAGCCAGGACTCTGCGACCAAAGGGGTCCTTGGGAAAACAAACGTATAGCACGAAGGGTGGGCGATGATTGAAGCTAGCTGACGGGATATGACGGGATGTGAAGAGTCTTCGCCCCGCGTCGAGGAGGGCAAAATATCTGCCACCTGTCTCTGCGAATGCTGCACAGCAACCTTCGATCGAATTCTTTGGGCGTTTGTCACATTTGAAGGCTGGGATCGCTGTCACCTCGGCAGGTGCCAGCATGCCGGGCGTCCCCGTCTTCATGACAGATCGTGTGCTGTGCAACCACGCACGGCATAAACTACTTTGTCGTTTAATGCCTGCCTCAACCGAAGGAGAGAACGCACAACTCGCCCTCGTCCAGTAGTTTTCAAGCTCGATCCGAGAGGTTGAGCTTGTCAGCTTTATACCTTGCCACAAACACGAGACATGCATGCTTGAAGCAGGAGACAGTTACTGTGGTCTTTCTGGTAGATTGGCGAGCATGCGGGCGGGCGGGCGTGTGCCTGCCGAGCATGCAAACGACCCTTGAAGGGTATGTGGGTGCGGGGTGGGAACTGTGGACCTGAACTAGCAGGTCGACGGTGGTCCAATGTCTGTACATGTTGACAAGTGACAGTGACAGCACTGAGGATGTCCAGGAAAGAGATGCTGCTTGCATCGCGTGCCAACGATCTACTTGCAAGGCTCCATGATGCTGAAAGAGCTGATCGAAAACCAGAGTAAGCGCATGTTTCATAATCTTTCGGCTGGATGCATCGAAACTATTCTCACCAAACGGCAGTCGGAGCAAAAAAACACTGAGGAACAAAAAGGAAGCTTCAAAGAACCGTGCGAAGCTTGAGAAGGCACCCTTGGTCACAGCCTATACAGGCCTGATCACTGACACAGAATCTGCGGGAATCGAACCAAGGACCTGTGCCCTGTGCTGCATCGTCAGGGGCCAACTGATCGGGATGGGGCGATGATGTTGGATTCGTGACAAGCCCCTTAACCTTAGAATGACAGTGAATCGATCACTGATGTAGGAATGGCTCTGCGAGCATGACAGTATAATGACATCAGCGTTTTGAGCACAAAGCGCAGTTCTTCATGCCTCGTTCCCTCTCGGCTTCAGGTTGCATATGGAGGTAGCATCTGTGTTCGGGCCTTTCAAGGTGAATGCGTACATAACATCAGCATTTTGAGCGCACACATGCACACACACGCACACCTCGCAGTCCTTCATTCATTATTCCTTTCCTCTCGGTTTCAGGCTGCGTGGGGGGAACTGTCTAAGCTTGGGCCTTTGTAGGTTGCATCATTGGTTGATGTTTGCCAGATTTCGCATCAGATCGTTCCTGACCTGAACACTTCCACAGGGACATGCATGGCACCACGTCAGTTGACATCGATTATGATATATCAAGATGACACGGCAAGATGTCATGAACATCAGGCTGCGAAACTTGCTTGTGAGCACACTCAGTGACGCCTGGTGGCAGCTTCACCCGGAAGTAGTCAGAGCCGGCAGGAATCTCAGCTCAAAGGTCAACTAGTTTATGTGCTGGCTTTGAAAAATTACCTTTCCAGTAGGTTGTTCAGCCTTTGTCCTGTAGCACAAGAAAGCCGCTGTGTTTGTGCAGCTCAGCATGTCACCGCATCCTCGGGTCGGAGCGGCGGAGCCTCCCACCGGATGCAGCTTTGATGGTTGGTGGATCTGGGTGGCACCATCCCGAAACTGCATCACTTTCCAAGCATGCGGCAATGGGCTCTTCACGTGCGGCCCGAAGGACCTTGGAATCAGTGGCTTCAGAGCATCCGAGAAAGCAGCCATGCTTATCGGGCACTGGCCTCATCCCATCCATCATCGCGGCAGAGGCGCCCATAATCCTACAGAGCCATGCCATACATGCTCGACTTCTCACTGTCTTGTCTCACATTGTGTCACACATGTGGCCTCACGACGTAAGACGACTCAACCTTCGGTGTTGTCGCGTCCTGTTCGAGCTGCCGGAAGAATTCCTTCAAGCAGAAACAGCTTGGCTGACTGGGTCGAAACAAAAGTTCACTGCTGTCGCGCTGTCCATCCTCGTTGCGTTTCGCCGCATCGTTTTCAGCAACCTGCCAGAACTATATGCAACAGTGTCAGACCCGCAACTACTCAGGATGTCTCAACGTTGAACCAGACGGTGCCTTCGATGCATCCGGAAGATTCCGGCTTGTTGCCAGGGAGCCCTTCACGGCTTTACTTTGAAGCAACCTCTGATCATCGCCAGATGACTTCCAGAAGTACGCAACCAGTTTCTGCAACGTGGCTCTTATACACACACACACAAACAAACAAACAAACAAACAAACAAACAAACAAACACACTCATCACTGCTCAACCTGATGTGCTGATTTGTGCACACGTTCCCACGTTTGGTCGATTCGCCAACTGGTCTCCCTGCTTTGTCTCTCCGACTTGTGCCTATCTGACGTGGCATGTCTGGAACAGAAATGAACAGACGTTCAAGATGATGTTTCCCGTGAGTGGGATTGAGCAGCTGTTTCATGGACTCGCGGATCTTCGCCCCACGACCGGCAGCGACAGGATCGCCTTGCCAGCACAGGAGCTCGAGCACTTCCAACAGATCGCTATTGATACACACCACACAGATAACACGCAACTGTCGGGCAATCCTCCGTCTTTGATGCCAGCCATTTCTGAGGCCATGGCGAGGGAAAAGACTGCGTCAATTAAAAGCAAACTCGAAGAAATAAGTGGTTCATGATTCATGATGGTTCCATATTAGTAAATTCAACGATGAGTGTGCACACCAGCCTGGCCTAGCACGACCGTTCACAACAGTGGTCAACTTATGCAAACCAACTGGTCCGATGTGGCCAATGCAGGTCTTGATGAGCCATGCGACTCACAGCATTCCAAGTACTATCGCAAGAAAATGGCGAGATCACATGTCCGTCGGCGAACCATCTGCTTAGTAAGCACAGTTCAGAAGCTCATGGCATTGAAATCAACGTGTAATGTCGCATTCATGCTCAAGCAGGCTTCTATTCCTGGTCGCGCGTGGGCCTTCTTGTTTCTGTCGGGCAATGAAAAAACCTTCCGCCAGATTTTGCCAGCAGATGTGATTTACATGATTTCTGCTCGGTTGCGGCTCGGACAGAAGCAGGCGTAGGCTGAGATTGGCGGGTGGGGCGGGCCCTCCACTACACACCTTTCTTCCATTCTCAACCAACCCACCCACTCACCCACCCACCCACAGCACCCCCCCACCCTGGATTCTGCGCAAGCCCTGTCGGAGCACACTTCTTGCGATTTGATGATTTTGGTCCCTGTTTCAGCAAAAGCCTGTAGGGGGGGACACCCTTTGCGATCTGCGTCTTTTGGGATCTTTAAAAAACTCGGTTTGGAACAAACTGTCAATGTGGTAAAGAAGCTTGGAAACTTGAAGAGCGCAACTACTCCATGAAAATTTGGCTCTTGCTGGTAGGAATTTCCTGAGAAAAGAGAAACACCTATTTTGATCACATGTATTTTCAGGCAAGTGGACAGGTCCCCCGTTCTACAGCTTGCAGGTGAATTCGTGGGTCTTGTTGAATTTGTGGGTTTGTTGGTCGCGGTCATTGCTGTAGATGTCTCTGCCGTAAGGCGGAAACTTGTGAAAGATAACGCTTCTCTTGCCCTACAAGCGATTTAAAACGACTCTGAACTCCGGAAAGCAAAAACTCAACTTCTGACGGTCAACCAACGTTTACAATGTTGCTGCAGATCAGCTAATGGAGTCGCGACACTGAAGCTTGGCAAAAACCGTTACATTTTTTTGGCATGAGCAGGCCTCGTCGACGGCGGTTGCCGCACTCGGTCCTAATGGAATCAACAAAAAGCAACAAGAAGCAAAAAGACAACTAATAATC